AAGCAGGCACCAAAACTCACATTCAGTGCTAAGTGGTAACAGAATCCATCTCTGCAAGGTAATCACAATTCATGGCAAAAGTTTTATATTTAAAAGTTGCGTCGTTAATTCATAGAATTTATCAAGGGGTTCGATCTTCTTGGCTGAATGATGTAACTAGAGTCACTAATCACTTTCATATTTCAAATGCCAGAGAGAGAGAACTTCTTAATAGAAGCAATTTCAATAATCAGTTTTAATCCATTCAACTCTCATTTAAACTTGGTAAACTATAATCGCGGGGGCCTAAATGCAACAAATCAAAATTGTAACATCTATCAATGATTACCTTTCCGGCAGTAGCCTCCAAAGTTTGGTTTAGTTGTAAAGGTCGAAGCTCTATTTTTCGATTGTCCATAGCGTTGACGGTCGATCTTAGGCTTCCCTCAGACAAGAGGACATATTTAAGCATAGTCTTTTTCCCTGAGACATGTCCATAAAGAGGAGCCACCATATTCTCTAGCGGAAGGAATTGTCCGTTCAAAAAAATAAAAGATAAAAGGGACAATCACATAACAAAGTATTTCCCATAAAATTGTCCGTTAACCCTAAGGGAGGAAAGTCTGCGGAGTTAAGTCCAGCCATACGACAAGAACTGCGGGTGAGGCGTTTACAATAAGAGCCAACGCTCATTAGTAGTTTTAAAACGTTTTTGAATGGAAATAATCGCAAGATTTCCGTCATTGTGAACGCATAACGCTAGGATTTGTTTTGTAAGTAGATGAATGAATTGGCACTCAGTAATCCAGCAGTACAGAAAACAAAAATAGGTTCTACGGTTATTGTTCATTTAGTTCCCGCTGGAAAAAGTACTTGTTTTGATAACCAGTTGATTTAAAACTGAACTCGTTTGTGAAATAAGCCTCCTCGAAATAAAAGTTGAATTCGCTTGAGTTAAACAGAGAAACTGTTGGCTTTTTACATTCCTTTTATTTGCGACATTTAAAGCTTTAGGTTTCATAAAGAACAACCAGGTCTGGGATCGAGAAACAATGATCTCACAACTTGTTAGCGGGTCATCATAGATACACTCCCTTTTTTTGCCTGTTTGTTGACTATGCGTTGGCGAAACCCGTTCGAGGATGAGAGAAACTTTAAAAAAATATATCCGAGTTTAGGTGGGAAATAGAGTGATTTAGCAAGAGGACGGTAACGTCATTTCAGAACGGGTAAGCGCGCGGATGGTCTGGACACGACTCTATTTCGTAATAGAACTTTTAGAAATTTCTAAGTTCAGGACGTCATTACGCTGGTTTTCCCGTCGTGATCAAAACGTTGCGTAAATTTTGCGCTTATAAACGAGATAATGCTGTTTGAAATTATTTCAGAACCCATTTCCAGGATAACCTGGTCCCCTCCTTTGGTCTATTCGGTGTATTTTGGGAAAATTTACCGCTTCATTTATGCCGAATTCCCGAAAGGAAACACAATCGTTGGCAAGCGCCGGATCTAAGATTTTAGGGCTCAGTACACTTGTAATTGAACAAGGCTTAAAACAGCGAAAGAGCTGTTCTTTGATACATTTCTTTAACCCTGTATGAAAACTCTCAGAATGGGACGTTGTTAATTTTATCATGAATCAATTCATCAACAAATTAAACTTGCTTCATGTTGAAGTCTACCAAAATGAAATATCACGACGCTTACCTACTGTATTATTCAGTGTTATTTGTTGTTATTGTCGTTTTTACCGTGATTGAAAACTTTTCTGCGAATTGAAGTTGGAGATGAAAAAAAAATTGAGAATAGCTCACAGTTATGCACTTTTTTATGTTTGAAATTTTTTATCAGCGCCGGTGAAAACTAAGACAAGAAAGTCATATCTCGCTTCGAAATAAATTGACAATCAACTTGATTTCGGCACGAGTTTATGAATCTATTAACTTGATTCAGTCTTGAACGAATTCATTCGTTTAAAAAAAATTAAATTAAACAAAAACTAAAAAAAAAAAAAAAAAACAGGAACGAAGTCTAATTCCTAAGTCTAACGTTGGTGACTAGTTTGGTGATTAGTTTGAGTTAATTTCATTATTTCACGGATAAATAGGAACTCATCGTAAACAACTCCATCGTTGGGTCGCTTGGTTTCTACATGGTTTCGCCATAACTCCTGATAATTCCGTTCAAAATGCATTTCAACTCTAAGAAGGTGGTGCTCAAAAGAGATGTACTGTCATGATTGAGAAGAATATTCAGTAAACAAGGGGAAAAACGACGACGATTTCCAATTATCCTTTACAAAATTATTAAGAAAAACGAGTAGTGCTGAAATCTAGTAGCACGAAACGAAATGACAGCGACACAAATCATAGAAAAAAAATTATTTAGTGGGCTTCAAACTTTGATAGACGAATCAGCAGACTCGAGACTAAACTGGAATGGAATAGTTTCAAAGTTTAATCGCCTATTTGGATTCATATTACCAACTTACTTGCTGTATCTATAACTGTTCTCTGTTTGCTCTTGTTATAACTCTCAAAGAAGATAATTTCGTTGTCCTTAGAGTGGTCTATAAAAGGTGATAGTGATCTTCAAAAAAGCCGAGGTGAGGATTCTCGTTGCAACGACTGCTAAATCACTTTTCAACACAACACGAAGGTGTTCTGGTGTTTTGCTGCGCGCGCCGTTCTGAAATGACGTTCCCGTCCTCTTGCTAAACCACTCTAATGTCTTTGTCGGGAAGTGTAAGTTCCGGCTTAGAGGGAGGGGGTGTCTCTAAGGTAAACTAGTCTCTTCAAAGTCGCCAGTTGGGCCGAAAAGGAATGTGGAGAAGAAACATCACCGTGATGTTCTCCACATTCCTCTTTGGCTGGTTAGCATCAGCGGTCAACAGCATTAAGTTTTATTTTGGCTTACTTGCACTTTCGAGGCATACAAAAGGTATAATATTGTTTTCAGAAAAAACAACAGTTTCTCGAAGAGTCAACATGTTTCATTTGGATAAAAAATCAATCTTGCTTTCGAATTCTGATTTTTTTCTACGATCAGTTTTTAATTTATCTGGCTTAAGATCTCGATGCATGCACTATTTAGCTCCCACATATGGCTCTGTATTGTGGGGAAATAATTACGAAGACCATTGTCTCAGTTGTTTAAGCTACAATACAAAGTTTCCAGAAAAAATATGAGGAGATTCTGTCCAACAATTGTTGATGCTACAATTGGAATGATATTCCTGTATCAATAAGGAAGAATGTTATGAAAAACCTACTGATGGAGTGCTTTTCGTGTATTACTTTTCTAAGTATTAATTACTGTCGTACATTGATCTTGAGTTATCCATTTATCTGATGTGATTTCTCTTTTCCTCCCTAAAATTTGTCTTGCTTTGTTGTAACCTTTAAACCGTAAGAGTGCATGACCAGCAACTTGTTTCTCCTTACAGTAATATTGCTGAATCATTCATTAAATCCATGAAAATAAGGGAAACGATTGCAAACCCAAAAAGCTTTTATTGCAAAACAAATCCTCCCGTCAGTACCAAATGTTTCGAGGAGAGTGTTGAGAATATTAATACTGATCTTAGAGTGTAAAGGGTTGATATATGCAAAAAATGAATTTAAACTAAAGGGCATCTAATTAGCTAACTATAATTTGCCCCTCTCTAGCTTATCTCCTCTTTGTAATCATTAGAAAGGTTTGTAATTGTCGAAATGAAGGAAACATAAAAAAAGACCAAAACTGGTTTACTCCTTTGTCTGTACATTATTGCACTGTTATTGTGAGGCTTTGGTCTCAAATCTACGGCTGATCCCTGATAAAACAGGGTCTAGTGCTTAATTAAGATTTATAGAAGTGAATCTGCATTCATGAATCTTACCCACATACTTGTTTAATATACTGTATCTCTAAATTTATCTGCTCAGGAAAATGGAAGAAATTGGATGATAACACTTATTCTTCTGCAATTTATGAATCGAGGGTAAATTTCCACATCAAAGAGAAATATAAAATTAAAACGAATAAACACGTTAAATTGAAAGACCGTCTTTGTCATTGCTTACTGAATGGAGTTTGTGCTACAATCAATTCTTAAGGTTTTGTTGGGGACATTTGATAACAACCACTTACAAGTTGTGCGAAAATGTAAACATGGTAGTTGCAATGATAATAGGAACAAGTGGAGTCCAATTCGCTCTGTAATCATACGAGTAATTAACAAAATCGTACCACCACGAATCGGGAGTCCTAATAGCCAATCATTTAGGACAAACAAAGAGAGAATTTTTAATGTTTAAATGCTTGTTAAATGCCATCTCTATCTCTACCGCTTGATTTCGTTGCACTGTGAGGGGGTGGCAACTTTATGTTTCTTTGTTGGATGCCTCTTTGGTGTTTATCCCCTCTTAATAGAAGTCAAATCAGCCAGCTTTGCTCCTTTTGTTTCAGGATATTTGCCATCCTTTTTTTTCTCTGTTTTCGCTGAATTGGTCATTTAATCATCAATAAAAGTTACTGGCACAAATCTGTTTTGATCATAATTGTTAGATTTTTCCCTCTTGAGAGCCACAATGTAATTTTCAATGTTACAAAAGCTATTACAGGCGTTGTCGTAGTTTTGTTACAGTGCTGTAGCAGGAAATTTATCAAATCAGCTACGTTCATATTTGCAGGTATAGAGATGCTGCGATGGGGGAGAATTTCTATGATTTTTTCAAGTTGCTTTGAGATAAATTAACGTTATTTTTTCCATGTCTAATTTTGATGAAATAAAGAATGAGTATGGAAAGTGTAAACCAAGTGTACCCCTAGTACAGCATGAAAAGACAAGGCAGTCATCTCAGAATGATAAATATAATGCCCTTGTGGACTGAAAAGCCAAGAAGTCAAAAAAGATATCATACAACAACAACAAGCCTGCTACAAAAAATGTACAAAGCATTGTAGTTTTATTAAGCATTATATGCAAGCCAATAAAAGGCAAACAACAGGACATAGCAGAAAAACAGTCAAATAACTTTATCTACTATTACATCATTTCCAAAAGCCAGGCAAGGTGTAAGGCATACTAAATCAAAATGCACCTCATCCATAAGTTCGACTGAATGAATGAAGGATCTCGTCTAATACCTTCCCATATGGCATTTATTCGCTCGTACTCGCGCTTTATTGCTTGAAGTTCATTATTATAGTCATCGTACCTAGCTAACAGCCCTCTCTCCTCATTTCCTATCACATCACTCCTATTGATGATTGCTGAAATCTGGGTAAGGATATCGTTTGCCTTATCAGTGAAGGATTTCCACATCTCCAGCGCTTTATTCAATCCCATTGCTTGCTGTCTTATTCGTTCTGTATCCGTATCCAACAAAGATCCAAGCTGTTGCACCCTTGTTTCAGGGATCTACGAGAATAGTAATAAAAAATGAAGATTGCACGAAGATGAGTCTATTAGCTGGATGTATAACAATATGTGAGGATGACTGACAGAGCGAGATAAAGGTCTAAGCATGTTAGTAATTACCGCGGGCTTACACTTAAAGCGATATCAACATTAGACCAATATGGACAAGTTTTTGAGAAATTGAAAGGCAGCGCGGTTTTCTCCCTAGGTTAAACTTAAAACGTTCGGAACACTGCCCTTTAATAAGGGGACGAAATCGGCCTTCGCACACCATCCCTTTATCCTTGAAAACTTGCTGAAATTTAGCGGCCTTGCACTTTTGATGTGTTGGGCGGTCCTCAACAATAGTCTGTTTAAGTTCCCTAAATAGCGGTTGATGGATGGATAATGAGTGTCGAGGCTTTCAACAAGTGTAAAACTACCGCCGTTTTAATTAATATATACTGTTGCTATGGATTCATGGGAGTATTTGTGACATACGCAGACGTTTTAAGTTCTGTGAGGATAACTAAATGAACATCCTGTACCTCGCGTCTCATTTGTTGGGCAATATTGATATAGAACTGAAACTGGCGGATAACTGACTCTAATTCTCCAGGCTCCTGTATTGAAGGCGTTACTTCCGCTCCCTCAGCCTCACCGGAAAGGAATGCGTTATGCAGAAGGGAAATCATTTGACTGATTGATTCTATTTCTTCGTCGATTCCTGCTTCTCCTGGTAAACGTTCTCTATCGATTACATTTTCTCCTTCACCCGTGTTCGTACTACGCAAGTATGCCGTCAGTTGGGAAATCACTCGCAGGTCCTCTCTTCTGATGGTTATGCCGAATCTGCTGAGTTGTGCCACAATGCCGCTTATAATTTTTTGTAATAGGGTTTCTTCTGCCATTATATGCGTCCTACAACATATTTTAAAGAAACTTTTAATCAAGGCCATTCTGTTGAAATTAAGACTCATATAATTTGACCCAATAAATTAAATGTAGGCCCTTCGGGACCCTCTGAGGCGTACTTGCCGTGTGTAAAGCCTTAAATACAATTTCAATTTTTTTTCAAAGGGCGGGGGGGGGGTGGGTTCACACTGTGTCAAATAGAGGGTACTCAACAGATTATTTTTAATACAATTGTGTATCACAGGCGCAGAAAACAGAATTAAGGGCATTCTATGTCTGCGCAATGCACCGGACATATAGTCAGCTGCTATTAAAAAAAAAGAAAAAGATCTTAAATGGCAGCCGGCGAATAAAATCATTAGTCATGCGATCCAACACAGAATTCAAATTTGGCGGAGAAGTATCTTTGAAATTTCCATCATGACACTCCTTTCACACCAGCACTGGCCCACTGTAGGAAACCTGAACTGCGTTCCGAACTCTGCGATCAAATTGTAAACGCGAACTCACCTTAAGGCCAATCAGAGTTATTGCAAATGAGTATGAACCTCTCAGTAATTTGTTGTTGTTTACTGCAATGAAGGCAAAAGATGCCTCGTTTTTAGATTTTTGAGTGCGCCCCACCTTCGTTAGCCAACAAATGCGCTATGGACTTAATTATGGATAAACAACCAATCCAATGGCCAATCAACACAGAATTATCGGAACCTGTAAGACTGGTTTTTGGGTTATTCTTATGAAACAAGCGGGATAGGCATGAAATAATACCTCTATTATGGTATGCAAACAGCCCCCTCTAATTGATTGAGGCCATGACAAGTTGAAATATTCAAAATTTTGAAACCTGCTGTGGTTTAGCATCGGAAATTGGTTTCTTCTCGTATTAGAAAGGTTATAAGGAACACGCCAAATTTCGATCCCAGATATTTTAGCATGAACGTTAACGAGCCCCAGCAATTAAAAGTAATTGAGCGAAAGAGTGGTTTGTTCAGCTGCATTAAATCGATGACTTCGCCTCGTCCAGAAAATGCATTTTAGTTGTTATTAAGGACCTTAAGCGGTCACGACGCTTAAAGAGTTTTGGAAAAGGCCCATTAGAAGATGAACTTCAGTATTTCTTCGAAATTACGCGAAACAAAAACGACTTTGAATTCAGCTTTCAGTGTTTTATGATGTTTTTAAGAAATAATATATGAGGTACAACATACGGGGATGTTCCCATTTGATGTTATCTCAGTGACACTTTTGAGCAGCCTCGCTGCTTAGCAGGGCTGTTTGGGAAGGCAGTGCGAACTTGGTTTTGCTTAGTATTTCAAAATAAAGGATTTCAATGGCTGAGTGTCTGATTCAAGTCAAGTGGCATTTTTAGATAATAAAAATGAAAATAGAGCAGCATTAGCTCTTAGTCGTTTGGACGCCATTGATTGTCGGCGTGTCTCTCATATTAAGGCCTTTCACCAAGAATCTATGCATAATAAATATTATTTTGGCGTTTGAACAAGTCAATACCACTAATAGCAAACTAAAGGTAAACGTGAAATGTGTGGATTTCGGATCGATACGGTGATATTTATGGTAAATTGCGAGCCAGCTTGATGGCAGAATTACAATTGTCCCTCCTCTATCAGTCGCGTTATTTAATTTAACACTTGAGCCCTCAAAAGCTCTTCAAAAGTTGAAGACTAAACGAGAAAAGACAAAATGAAACAAAAACAACAGAAAACATGCGACATCCGGCGCAAGCTTCATGGTCCTTTCCTGTAAACCGAATCTCTCGAATTAGACTAAGAGAAATCTTCATCGCTAATGTTTATCTTGGATTTTTTTCATTTTTTAAAATTTGGTCTGTCCTCACTACACTGACTAGTGAACCCTCCAAAGGACATTACAGTGGTGTTATGCAATGAGAATGAAGACAACGATTTTGACTTGCATCTTAGAATTAATTAACTTATAATTTTACGAAACTTCAACAGGAAAGAATTCTTTCATGCATTTGTTCTGTATTATATAGCAAAAAGTTTTCGAAACATACAATCAATATGCAGCATCATTTGCAACTTTTATGCTATGTACATCTAAGTGGAATTTCTGAGAATGATGCACGCGATAATGCTAAAAAAACTAAACCAAAAAGCTCCTCGGGCTCAGCCATTTCAGTGAGAATTCCTGGAAATACGAGCATAGGTGAAATGCTAAAGCACATAAAAGAATCAATTTCAAAGAATTCATCAGATCATCGTCAAGTTGCCACGGTCCACGGCGAAATTCCAATCAAAAGATTTGAAGGACCGAGCGAGTGAAATGAAGGAGACTTGATAATGTTTCCTCTCGCCGAGAACAAAGCTCACGATTTATTTTTCAGTGGATTTGAAAATGGTAACGTCTCCAAATGTGTTGTTGTTGGCTGCGATGCAGAGCAAACAATTCAGGATGAATAATACAACTGTGCTCTAGTTTCTGATTTGGCAATTCTCAGTTTAAGCGTGATATTTTTCATTAACCAATAACCCGAAATAACACAGAAGAACGATGAAGCGAAGAGAAAGAGCGATCCGCAGACTAACTCCTCCTTCAACAAAGACCAATATAATATAGAGGGTTAAGTTCTTCTAAAGAGAAACGAACTGCAAAAATTTGTGAAGTAACAGTTCTATTGTTGTTCAGTTGTCGTGAATAGTGAAAACTCATCGTGGAACAATGTGTTTATATCAGTCTATTTGGACCTTTTTATCACATGATTAAATTTCCAGAAAATAGTCTTCTCCAGACAATTAAAAAAGGTTTCATGAATATCTTTTGTTCACTTAATCAAATCGGTTCCCATTTGCAGGAAAAGGTTGACAGACTCAGATTATCCCATCAGACTAGAACGAGTAGAAATGCACTTTGAGGTCTTTTCTGCAACGCATTGAACCAAACCCATCTCAGCAACTTCACGGCCGTTCCTCGAGGTAGCATGGATCTAAGTGTTTTCCTTTACTCGATTATAAATTTCCCATGTTCAAGGGAACTGTGGCCTTTTACAAGAGATTATACTCTAAAGCAAGTTATTGTGCCCAAAGGTTGCAACAATTAAAAGATTCAACGGCATCAATGCTAAGTGACTACTTAGTTTGTCTTCGACGTGGGAACTATCTCGTCTTCAAACTTACAAGTGAAAAGCAAGAACCAAGTTGAATTGATTTGGGATTCTTATTTATCCTTAATCTACCAATCGCAATGAATCATTTACACTTAGGTCCTTTAGAGCTCTTTAGAGGTAAAATACAAAACAAAAACAAACATATAATAACCGGCGCATGCTTATTCTTCCTTGTAGACAGATTCTTCTCAATCAAGTCGATCTCTGATGTTTATCAAAGATTTGTTTCATTCCTTTAGTCTGTCCTCATTTAATTTACTAGTGAACCCTTCAAGTGGCGTAACTAAGGTATAATACCTAAAGAATGAAGACAACAATAATTTCAACTTGCACATCAGATATACTAACTCTAATTTTTGCAAAGCTTCAACATGAAAGAATTCCCACACGTATTTCTGTTAAGTATTTAATTAAAACGTAACAGTATTTGATACTTTTATGCTGTCTACATCTGAGTGGAATTTCTAAGAATCAAGCATGCAGTGACATGAGAAAAAAAATTAACCGTGAATCTCCTCGGTTCAGTATTTTCAGAGGGAATTCCTAGAAACCCGAGAACACTGATGATGCCATATGTAAGAGCACATGGGAGAATTGATTTTATGGAATTCATAGTCGTCAAGTTGCCGATTCATGGCGAGATCCACGACATTTGACGAAGTGAGGTGAAGGAAAGTTACGATTGTTTCCTTTTTGCCAAGACAAAAGCTCGTTATGATACCAATGGATTCGGTTAGGCTGCATGGGTTTTAAATGAACTATGCGTACATAATCTCTCAACTCTCGTACAGAACGTCTCAACGCACCTCACTGAGGAGATCTTTCACTAGAAAGACAAAATGCTGCTGTTCACCTTGATGCTGAGCAAATATATCGTTATTTAAGCTATCGGTTTATGAGTAAAACTGAGAAAAAATGCACTTTAATTTACTAACCTGTTAATACTCAGTATAGGTGATATTTGTACCTAAACAATAACCCGAAATAACACAGACGAGCACCGGAGAGATACAACGATCCACAGAGACCAACGCCACCTTCAATAAGGGTCAATAAGGCCAATACATTGCGGATGTTTGAGTTCTAACGAGAAACGAATTGTAAATACTTGTGAACTAACAATTCTTTTGCTGAGCAATTGTTGTGAATAGTGATTATTACTCATGGAAATCGAAGTTCTTTATACCAGGCGATATATGACCTTTTAATCTCGTGTCTGAGTTCCTAGAAAACAGCATGCTCCACATAAACCAAGAAAATTCCTTTATGTTTATCATTTGTTGATTTCGAAGAATCTGTTCCAAAGTAACAAGAAAAAGGTCGACAAACTCAGGGCATCTCACCAGTGTAAGGGTAGTAAAGCACTCTGAATTTATTCATTGTGACTGACTTCCAAACAAAACCATTTCAGCAGCTTCACGGCCGTTCCACGCGATAGCATGAATATCAGTATTTTCCTTTACTCGAGAGCCAGTACAATCATCAAAGCTACAAGAAATAGTCGGCCCTCACGAGAAAATTGTAAAAATGTTAAGGCAATTCAATGTACACAAAAAATGCATCAATTAGGAGATGTAACCGCATAGTTGTTTGTCTTCGCCACTTATTCCATCTTACAATGTAGACTTTTTAAGCGAAAAGAGAGATATTAAAGTACATCCTTAAATTTATGGCTTAGAAATTAAGGACAAAGTATGAGCTAAATCCTCGAGGTGAAGAAGGAGAAGTCTTGACGGAAATGCTAATACTAAAGCATTTGACCTCTGAATATAATTTCACTCGTTCGCTTTCCTAAAAAACAACATCCTTGACAAGGATGGTCTGGTGCTTAGTGTTGGTCTTATTGGATTATTACAGACGT